GTTAAACAGTTTTTTGTGAAAATTTAATTTTTCACATATTGGCATTTTCAAGGTGTGACTTTAAAGTTCCATGATCTTGAAGACTTTTGCTTGTCACATTTTCTGAATGTCCATGTTACTAATATTTTATTAATAACATTTGATTGTCATTATGCTGTTAAACATTATGTAATGTTGCATCAAAATTTGAAGAAACCCCTATTTTGGGCACTGCTCCTATGATGACCATTTAAGGGAAATCATGTCACTTACTGTTCTCAAACTTATAGGAAAGAAACATGGGTCTAACATACAGCTTCAATAGGCAACGCAGTCTGTTTGGTAAATTTTTCTGGCAATTTAACAGTTTTTTGTGAAAATTTAATTTTTCACTTATTTGCATCTTTATTTTCTGTTCTTTGTCTGTACATTTGACAGCTTTGCTGCCTTGTTCTGATATGTATTCATAATAATAAATGATGTTTTATATAAGTTTATTATTAAAGCTTCCTTTGCTGTTAGACTTGTTGCATGTCATAAGTACACACACACGCACATCTTCCTAATAAAGTACTTCCTTCTCTTTCATGTTGCTGATTTTGATTGACACAATAGGGGGTAAGTAATTCCAACGGAATTTGTATACCTAGTGTAATAAATACAGTGGCTTGTTTCATCATTTTACTTGACTGCTTAAAATTTAGATATATAATTATGGTACAATAAAAGACCCAAGGTATAGCATAAAGTAGTATTCTTTTATGAAAATTGTCTGTCTTTCGTAAATATTTTTTTACATATCTGTTTACATACAATATCATCGGTTGATACACAAAGAAAAAAGGGAAAGAAGTTTTATTTTGCTTTGGCCAAAGTATATCATCTCAGTGTGAGCTTAGAAATGCTTTTTAAATAACTTAATTTTTTTTGTCCTTTCAGGGTTACACACCTCTCCATCTAGCAGCACTACATGGACATGAAGCCATAGTGGAACTGTTAGTACAGTGTTATGGTAGGTAGAATTGGAACTCTTAGTACAGTGTTATGGTAGGTAGAATTGGAACTCTTAGTACAGTATCATGGTAGGTAGAACTGGAACTGTTAGTATAGTGTCATGGTAGGCAGAACTGGAACTGTTAGTACAGTGTCATTGTAGGTAGAAGTGGAACTGTTAGTACAGTTTCATGGTAGGTAGAACTGGAACTGTTGGTACAGTGTCATGGTAGGTAGAACTGGAACTGTTAGTACAGTGTCATGGTAGGTAGAACTGGAACTGTTAGTATAGTGTCATGGTAGGTAGAACTGGAACTGTTAATATATTATCATGGTAGGTAGAACTGGAACTGTTAGTACAGTGGTATGATAAGTGGTACATAATATTTTAAAGGGATAATAACTCTTCGTATGAGATCTATATTTCACAATAAAAACCTTGTGAATAACTCATAGAAATATAATATATTCTGTTTTACCACAAAAACAGCAGTTATAACTATTATTCTGATATCTGAACTTGTCTTCAGACCACGTGACCTCCATTGATGTCTATACTCTGTTAAAATCTCTTAAGAGATTTTAACAAAAAACCAAACTTTTTAGAAAAAAACCAGGGACTAACTTTGAATGTAAAAATGGATTCATTAACCATTGGTAAGTATGGGAAAATTGATGTTTACTCCAGGAAAATTCATTTTTTGGCCAAAACAAAGAGTTATTATTGCTTTAATTGTTGTAAGTGACAACAAGTAATAAGTTGTTTCATGTGTACAAATACCAACAGAATTGCTGTCAGATAAAGTAAAAATATATATTCTGCATGAGCTACTAAGGTGGTAAGTTTAGTTTATACCTTAAATATAAGGTATAAACAATACAGTATATTCAACAGTGGCAGATTCATTTGTAAAGAGTTAACACAAGTAGCTGACATAATCTTCTTAACCTTTCCAATTGCTGGCAAATAAGATACTTTAAAAAAGTAAATAAACACAGCTAATGAAGAAAAAAAAAAAAAAACGTTTTGTATTAAATTATCACAGCAGTATTTTAATATATTTGATTCTTCCCATCAGGTGCTGACCCCAACATACGAGACTACAGCGGGAAGAAGCCAAAGCAGTACCTGAAGAACTCCGCCTCCTCCAAAACCCAGCGTAAGAACTCCGACTCTCTCACTGCCTCACTTTCAATTTCCACCTGGCCTAAACGGTCCCATCAGTTCACTGTGCCGCCATCTCCTTCTGTACCCTGCACGCCAGGGACGCCTAAATCTGTCTTTGACTTCCGTAGCGGTCAGGACACAGGGTCGCAGAAAAATTTAGCTCTAAATGTGACAGTAGTTGACCCTGAACATTCAGCTCAGAGCATGACTTCCAATGCTTGATATATCCCCCTTAGCTCTAGAGTCAGTAGAGATTAAAATGCCTCTCTACTGTTAGTAGCTTTATTTTTATTATTAACAAATTTACATGAATACCATTTTTGGGTAGTTTTATATAAAAACCATATTTGGGCTTTTTTACATGAATACCAAATATGGACAGTTTTTCATAAATGCCATTAATGGGCTTTTTTACATAGTTTGGATGTAAAGGCTGAGCTAAAGCTTTAGAAAAAAACATATTTTGACTTTCAAATTGAATTGCAAGGGAAAATGGTTTAATGAAAATATCCAATTTGAAACTGTCACCCTGACAGTGGTGTTATAAACTATTATAGTAGTATCTCCTGAAATAGCTAATTTTATAAAAATTAGCAAATACAAATATGGTATTCAGCATAGAGGACAGTCTATCTAAACAGATCTGTTTTAGGCATGTATCAACTTGTATGTGTCTTAGATTAGATTCTGCATTGTGTAGTAAGATTAATAGAGTCCTTACAAAAACTTGTGGTTGTTTATTACCCTTTAGGAATTATAATTATTTAAGATGTATCTGCAACATTTTAATGTTATTGTGAAATTTTGTATTCTCCTGTTTTGTTCTGTTTCATTTTGTTTCATTTATTAATGAAAAACCAATTTATAAGTTAGCTAGAAAATTGTTTGTATTCACACATATCAGAAAAGCTCTCTTTTGTTTATGTTGGTATTCCTAACATTGTTTATTTTTTAACTTCATACTTAGGTTTATATTATTTACTAATTATATCTTTTGTTAAATACTTAACCAAAATCTGATGTATATACTTTCTGAACAACTACAGTGGTGCTGCGAACTCATTAATTAATTCAGAGACTTGGTGATCGGGCACTAACAATGGAACTAATATTGAAAGACATGCTCAGCAGTTCAATCACACTGGCAAAGACTGAGACTGTGTGAAGAAAATGCTCCCATTTGCCCCCAGGAATGACTAACTCATTCAAATTTTGATAAGCTTTTGTATATTTCTAGGATTGTAATTGGTATTATTTTTCTAAAAATCAACGTGAATTCCCTGATGTACAGGTGCTAGTTGTAAATAAATCTGTCTGAAAAAGAAAAAAAATCACTT